TTACAATTTTGACCTCCTGTGTCATTGGTTTGTTGTCCCAAGCTGGAGAAAAGGTTGGGTTGTCAAACGTGTGTTTCCCATCAGGATCTATAAGATAGTTCCCAAAGGTGCTTTTTCCCATCCCAGTAGATCCTATGAGGAGAACAGCCATGACTGACTGATGGGAGTTGAAAATGAAGTTGCTTCAATGATTCATGTAGCTTATAGGTGGTGTGGTGTGATCAGTGGTGTGATGTTTCATAAAAGGAAATGTAATTAATAGTTCATAAAAGGAAATGTAACCAATATTTTTACAAAACAATGAATCTGTATACAGTTGTACAGCAGTAGCTACATAGGTGATGATATTCATTGTTTCTAGTGAGGTATCAAGTTACAATTCTTATTATTCATGTGGCATATATTCTGTTAGACCCACTAACAAGTTGATAATAATGGAATGATAGGTATCTCTGGTGGGTGTGTTGGTGGTTCAGTTACTAAATTAAAGCAAAACCTGTTGCTAAAGTTGATCAGATTGTATTTTTAATTATTAATATAGTTTTGGGCTTGCTCGTCATTAGGGATCTCTGCAGAAAGAGAAAGCATGCAAGCACGTGGTTGTAGATTACTGGAATTTACTGACACTGTATTACTACCAAGAAGGAAGTGTAAATGCTTATAAAGGAGCTAATTCTCACTTGTGTAGAGTCACTCGCCCTACTCTCTCTCCTATTGTTGTCTACATCTCTGGGCCGCTCCTTATCAACCTTCTCCTTGTCTCCCCAACATCACCACACCGCCGCATGTGGTCAGTCTTAGACGGTGTAAGGCGACACGGCTCAACAATAGAACGACCATACACTTCTCATTAAAGTGTTATTATTGAGCCCATTAATCCTGTTCTCTGGGGATTCTTTGACCTTTAATGATGTCAATTACTAGAAGATCTCTTTATTTTCTTCTTCTCTTCTTATTCTTCAATTATTTCATTGTTTGTTGTACTGGACTCATCTTTGTCCCAATAAAAGGAGAAGTATTGATTTGTACATAGCAGGACATCAACTGATAGGTAAGGAGTAAGAGAGAGGAAGAAAGTATAAATAATAGAGTAAATGTTGCGAATGAGTAAATGGAAAAGGATATTGTTAGAAAGAGGTCAAATTAGGAGTGGAAGGGTGGTACATGTAGAAGTATGTACATTGTACATCATTATTATTAGAAAGGGGAAGTGCTAATAGTGAATAGTTAGCGCAAAATGAAGGAAGCATACTTTACTTGTATTTAATCAAAAATTTATTTGTGTTGTATATGTACATTGTGTGCATAAAATTAATTTGACCAAAATGTATTTTTGTGATTTAATTATTTGCAAATTAGCATCATCTGCACAATATTAAATAGAGCTTATTAGTTAAAATCTGTTTGTGCTATAGTTTGTGGTTAAGAAGTGAAAGAGAAAAGCAAGAGAGAGGGAGGGAGGAAGAGAG